GGAAAAGTCCCTTTTAAGTGTGTCTGGGTCTTGGACAAACTGAAATCTGAACATGAACTTGGTAACCCTATTGACATATCCCTGTAGAAATTGAGACCAGCAAATATTACGTGACTATCACTGATGCCATGGGACACATAATTACACCAGCATAATTACTGCTGGTGTTGGTGAACTTGATGCTGGTGTTTTCAAGAATGGACAAACCTGTGAGCATGCCACTCTGGCTTGCACACTGTGTGGAATAGCTAGGTGTCAACAGAGTGGAGTCCATGGAGCTACCCTGCAGGCAGAAGTCAGCAGCACCTATGTCAAGAAACTTGGCCATACCACTAACACAATAGCATTTGTGCTAGTTTCTAGCTGGAATGGTGACAGCATGCTGGATCCAAATGCTGATAAGCCTTGGTTCAAGGGATGGAAAGTCACTCCTAAAGATGGTGGTGCGAATAGAGCCATACTGCTAGGAGCTTTGTGTTAACTCCTGCCACCAGCTCATCCACTGATGTGTCTGCAGCTGCCCTTCCAGGATGTCTGTAAAATCGGTGGTACTTATATTTGTGGGCCAAGTGAAGACTGGTGTTCTCAAACCTGGCATGGTGGTTGGTTACCTTTGCCAGTCAGTGTCACACTACTGAAGTAAAGTCTGTTGAAATGAACCATGAGCCTTTGAGTGAAGCTCTTCCTGGGTACAATGTGGGCTTCAATTAAAGAACATGTCTGTCAAAGACGTTAGACATGACAATGTTGCTGGTAATAGCAATAGTGACCCACCGATGGAAGCAGGTGATTGATCCTTTCAGGCAAAATTAGCACTGGGTTGTCACATAGCTCACAGAGCATACGAATTTCCTGAGCTTAGAAAAAAGATTGATCTCCATTTGCTGAAAATGGCCCTACAGTCTCAGACCCTGATCTATGCAGCCATTATTGACATGATCTCAGGCAAGCCCATGTGCACCAAAAGTTTCTTTGACTATCTTCCCCTGGGTCGTTTTGCTGTTTGTGCCATGAAACAGACAGTTGCTATGGGTGGTATCAAAGCTCTGGACAAGAAGGCTGCTGGAGCTGGCAAGTAATCGAACTGCCCAGAAAGGTCATAAGGCTAAGTGAATATCATCTTTAACACTGGCCATTCCCATCTTTATCAATGGTGGAGGAATGGTCTCAGAACTATTAACTTAAATCAGCCATTTAAGTGATAGTAGAAGGCTAGTTAATGATTGCAATGCACTGTAAAACCTTCGGAGGAAAAGGAGATTGGTTTGATGCCTATTTGTGACCGTGTGTGCAGTTTTAAGTTATTAGTTTTTAAAACAGAACTTTTTTTTTGTTCTTGAGATTATAATTTAATTATATTTCTCCCTTCCCTTTCCTCCCACCAAGCCCTTCCACATATATCTCTCCCATTCTCCTTCAAATTCACGACCTCTTTTTCACTAATTGTTAGTGCATGCATATGAGTGTGCACGTGCGCGTGCGTGCACACACACACATACACACACACACTCCTAACTATAACCTCCCAAGTCCATATACTATTACTTGAACATATGTTTTCAGGCCTGACTACTTGACACTAGACCACCAGTTGGTGAGCTCTTCCCTAGGGAAGACCACCTCTCCTGCTCCCTGTCTTACTCAGTTCCCTGTAGTTCTTTGTGTAATTTTGAGGTCTAGTGGGCTTTTCCCCATTCCGTCTGGCATGTCCATTGGTGTCATCCTTGTCCAACTCACATGTGGGAGGTCGTATTGGTAAGACTTTAGGAGCATATCTTCTAATGTGACTAGGAAACATGATCTCACACCAAATCCCTGATCCTTTGGCTCTTACAGTCTTTCTGCCTCTCATCTGTAATGTTCCCCAAACCTTAGGTACAGGAGTGTTTTGTAGAAGTATCAGTTGGGACTGGATTCCACAACTCTGAGTTTTGATTGCTTGTGGTTTTCTGTAGTTGTTTCTGTCTGTTGCAAAGAGAAGTTTCCTTGTGAGGGGTGAAGACAAATGTTTACACATTGTTTTCACTAGCACTAAGTGCTTAGCTGGGTTTCCAGTAGTAGGCATTGGTATCACTCTTGCTGAGTGGGTGTTAAATCCAAATAGAGATGTTCGTTACAGCTTGATTAAAGGTAAACAACTTGATTGAAAATCTGTCAGAGAATCCTGAGACTCATTAAAACAAGTTCAATGAAAATAATTTTTATGCATCAGGCATGCATCAAGATGCCTAGCTCTAAAGGGACACATCTGAGTTTCCTCTGTACCTTTAAACTCTACAACTGACAGTTGTCAGTCACGTCTATCAAACACTCCTCCTTGGACTTCTGTAAATTTCCTTCTAATTTTTTTAATTGCCACTTTTCAATCTTCTTGTTGAGTCACCCATTTAAAGGCTGAATTATTTCCTATGCAGCTTTATCTGGGTGTAGCCTTCAATGTAACAACTCAGTTTCTCCTTTGCATTACTGACAGACTTCTTTTGAAACTTGGGGGTTTGTTTGTTTGAAACAGGGTTTCTTTGTGTAACAGATCTCTGGCTGTCCTAGACTTGCTTTGTAGACCAGGCTGGCCTTGAACTCACAGAGATCCACCCGCCTCTGCCTCCCAAGTGTTGAGATTAAAAGCATGCACCACCGTGAACACCTGCCTGAAACTTTGGGATATTTGAAGGAGTTGTTGTTGTTGTTTGTTTGTTTTCTAGTTTAAGGGTATATTTTGAGTCTTACTGTGATGCCCTGGCTAGCTTGAAACTTGCTGTGTAGACCTGGCTGGCTTTGAACTTGGATGAATCATCCAGCTTCTATCTTTTTGAGGACTGGGATTACAAATTTGGGCTACAGAACCCAGCTCTGCTCTTAAAACATATATGCCTTGGTTTCTTTCAGATTCGTCTGGCTATTTGAAATGCCTTTCAAATTTGAGTGTTTCTGGAACCAGCCGTTGCTCTAGACTGGTCTAGGCTGTCACCAGATCTTGATCTAAGTTATTACTCAACTAAATCTACAGCCTTCAGCTGCTTTCTGACACCTTGGCATGAGAGTTAACATTGCTACCGCTTTAACATGCACCTCCCCTTTTCATGCAACCCTCTTCATCCAACCTCCTCCTCTGTGTCACCTCCATTGTTGCATACCAAGCATACCAATCCCCCCAACTGTCCCCTCCTTTGGAAGACCTGCTCAGTCTCCCACAGGGCTCCTCAGCTAGTTTCCTCTCTCACAATGTGTGGTTCTGTCTTAGATGTTTTTGTTTGAGACCATATCCCAGGCTACTTTGGAACTGTTATGTAGTCAAGGATGACCTTGAACTTCTGGTGCTCCTGCTTCTACCTCCTGGGTGCTGGGATTATAGGCATGTGCTCCTATGCTGGGTTTATTTGGTACTAGGGATGCAATCCAGGGCCTTGAGTATGGTGGGGAAGCACTGTACCAATTAATCTGCATCCCAATCCTATGCCTTAATTTTTAACGAAAAAGTTTAAAAAGTGGGAAAAAAATAAAGTAAGAATAGAAAGTAGGAAAAATAGAAAAGAGTTCATGTGCCTTTTCACAGCTCTTTGGAGTTACCTTTATAACTACAGCTGTCCATTCTCTATTACTCCAGTACAAATTCCATCAAGCCCAGAGCCACTCACCACTGTGCTTCAGAGTTTGTCTGTTGAGCAATATGATCTCCTGTGAGACACTCTTAAACAGCGCAACCTTATAGCTAAGAGTGCTAGGTAACTGTTCTACGGTGAAGTGTGACATGGGATTATATAAATGTGTAAGAGGAGTGAGGGGGGAAAGATGGACAGAAAGAAGAGGAGGAAGTGGGAGAGAGAGGGAGGGGAGGGGGAGAGAGAAGCAGAGAGAGAGAGAGAAGAGACAGCGACCAGTCCCATATGAACTTGAACACGTACCATTCTCAGTCTGCTTTTTCAATGGCAGCGTGGGATTACACACACACACACACACACACACACACACACACACACACACACGGCTATCTAGAGAAGTAAATGAAATTATACAAAAGGCTGTGGCTCAGTGCCTTGAACACACAAACAAGCTCAATAATTTGTGGTTATTTCTGGGCTTAGAGCCTAAAAAAACTGAAGAGATGGGTAGATGAGAGGTGACTGAGGTCTTCCAAACATCCACAAATTCTGGATCCTCTGCCTCCTGTCAAGGGAAATGCTGGCAACCCCAGCATTTCCAATCAGCTTCTTAGAAAACCAATCCGGTCCTTTGAAACTCCAGGTGAGCCCAGGCATCTTTCCTGAGGGCCATGCATCTGCTCTGGTTTCTTATCAGAGCCTCTCCACCTTCTCCAAATCACCACCGTGCTTTGTTGGCAAATCTTGACTCCAAACGCCGCTTTTGGGCGCCTGACATCCCTAGGCCCGCGGTTTCTGCTCAGACCGCGCTTTCCAAGTTCGAAGAAGGTACTGATACCTCCCCACAGGTGTGATCTACCGTCCAGCCTTCGCTCCGTACAACCGAGAACGCGCCTTGGACCCACCCGGGGCTCCAGAGGCCAGAGGGATGCTAGGTTTGCATCCGGGCGGAGAAATGGGGTGCTAAGAGCACCTGACACGCGCACCGGCTCGCACTTCCTGATCCTGGGCGCGGCCGCTCGGAACGCGGGGCTCCGGAGCGAAATCAGGTGCTCCCTCTGCAGCGGGAGAGACCCCGGACCTAGATGCCCCGTGGGCTCGCCTGCCCGGCGCCCGGGCGAGCCCCCGCCCGCAGCTCGCACCTCTGACCCGGCCCCGCCCCCGGCGGCCGCGAGTAGCGGGCGGAGCGCGGAGAGGCGCGCGAGGCTGTGCGGCGCCGCCTCCCCTCCGCGCCGGGGGAGGGGCGAGGGGCCGCGCGGGAGACGGAGAAAGCCGGAGCGAGCCGCTGGCGGAGAGCTGCATGCAACCGGTGGGAGGCCGGCCCGGCTGGTGCTGCGGCTCGGGCGGGGAGCGCGGACCGGCCGGCGGCGGCGGCGGCGGCGGCGGCGGGGGCTCTGAGCTGGCAGGCGGAGGGCTTTCTCCCGCGCCCGCCTGCCCGGTGCGGTCCGAGGATGCGGGGGGGCGATGCCCGGGGCCAGGGACGCGCTCTGTCACCAGGCGCTGCAGCTGCTGGCCGAGCTCTGTGCCCGAGGGGCCCTGGAGCACGACAGCTGCCAAGATTTCATCTACCACCTGCGGGACCGTGCCAGACCCCGGCTCCGCGACCCAGGTAAGCGCTGCCGCCGCCTCCGCCGGGCGCGACCCGAGGGCCCTGAGATGAGGACTTGGGGGCCGAGCCAGGGCCTGAGGCTGGAGAGCGTCGCAGGCTGGAGGAGGGCAGGGGGGTGACCATTGAGCCCAAATTGGTCTCCAAAAGCGGCTCACCACGGCCTGATACCGGAACCGGGCAGAGAACTCGGGCGGAGGCTGCTGTGCGGAGGCCGAGCCAGGGTAGGCTGGGGCAGGTTTGGAGGAACCACACCCGCCACCTGGGGGCGGCTCCTGAGCTCCAAGCTGCGCCCGCCACTTCACCCACTGGCGCCAGGGGAGGCCGCGGAGGCCTCGGAGCTGAGAGGGGGGTTCAGAACGCCAAGGAAACTCTGGGAAGTTGGGAGTTTGGGACAACCGGACTGCAGCTGATTCCCATCCATAGCTGCTCAGTCTGAGTTCCCAGTTTTCTCTCCAGGCTCTAGGGTGAGAAGGGCCAGAGAAGGTCTTGCATGGGGCTGGGCCCTGGAGCCACACGTCTAGGGCAGCTGGGCCTGAACCCTTTCTCAAGGTGTGCAGGCTCTGAGGCCTTGGCTCCCAATTTGTCCCGCCGTGGCAGTCCAGCACAGCACACTAGAGTGGTGGGCTTGCTGGTAGTGTCATGCAGCTGGCAGTTGTCCTAGTGAAAGCTGTGAGGCTCTTAACTTTCGAAAGTTCATTTGCTTAGGCATCTGACCAGTTAAGGTCAGAAGAAGGCGTTTTATTTGAGCTCGTTGCTTTGTCCAACTGTCGTGGATCCCGCTGTCTTCTTACTCATCACTGGTCACTAGAAAATGCATTCCTTTCGGATGTTTCCTGGGCGCCTTCTCAGTTGGAGGACTCTTATTCTCGAATATTTTTTTTCCAATCTAAGTAGTTTTGTTTTGTTTTTTAATTTTTAAAAGGCATATCATGGTTGGTTGGTTAAAAATGCGACGAAGAAAGGGCCTTTGCCTTGATGTTCCTGCGTGTAAACATTGGCGACAAGCTATTGCTGTGTGAACTACTAAGTACATGTATTTCTCATTTTAGACCAGTTCATTATATAAAAATACATTTCCAAAGGATAGAGAATTACCTGACTGTCAAAGAGGAGCGAGCTGACTTGACTAGCCTATCTTTAATAGGCTCTTCTAAAATGTGTGTGGTGAAGGCAGGTGTTAAAAGTTTGTCACATTTTTCTGTACTCAAAGGCTCTGGTCTTTTTTATGTCTGTGGCTACATTAATACGTTTCTCAAATGGTCGCTAATGTTTTACTCCAAAGGGGAGGATTAAGTGGAGAAACGCTGATTGCAGTGATTTCCCAGGAGGCTTGGTTGTCCAGCCTGTGTGTGGCTCCTTGCTGGATGAGAGTGTGTCTCATAGACCCACAGATATGAATGGGAGTACCCCACCTCACCGACAGGGGTCCAAGATGCCTCACGTGTGGGGTGTTCTGTGATTACATATCAGGATCAAACCCGTTATTAACACGCTATTCCTGTGTTAGTGCTGAAACCTCTCTCTGTGCTCCTGCCCCTGTGTGGCAGGTTTTCCTTGTTATCTCAGACAAGCTGTCATCTTCAGCCTTACAAGAGAAGGAGGGTGCAGCCTAGCTCTGAATTGGACTTTAACATGCCACATCTTTCTCGTCAATTCTCTCCCTCTTCCCTTTAATGCAGGGGCTGCTTCCCCTGTGCCCAATTCCCACACTGGCTGGGCCTGGAGGAAGAGGCCCAAGGAATAATCCTCGTAAGAGGAACTCTGGCGGCAGGCTGGGAAATCGCTTTAGATGAGAGACTGTCTTGCTGTTCCCTGACTTCCTCAAAGCCTTGTTCTGCTTAAACTAGGGCACATGGTTTTGAGGTAGCTCCTGTCCCTCTGGCTCTTTTTGTTGTGTCAGGAAGTAGCCTGAGCACGAGCAGGAGAAGAGCCCTGAAAGTAAAAGATGGGAGGAAATGCAGCCGAAGATGGCATCCAACATGCCACCCTCTCCTTCAGGGCAACCTCTCAGTCCACATCTCCCCGAGTCCCTCCCTTCTTCACCTTGCTCACAGTAATTCTTACAACATCACATGAATTTGTGTCCATTCCTCTGAAGCTGTTTGTCCCACTAAGAGTGCCCTAAAGCTGAAGAGGCTGCAACCACCCAAAGCTAAGTGAGCAGTGTCCCCTGCTGTTGGATAGTGGGACCCAGAACAGTGGTGCACAGCTGCCTGGATGGGTCCCCAGAGAGTCCTCTTTGTAAATGGGTGACTCTCTTTTCTGTGAAAGAGTCAGGAATGGCATGTTCCAGCCTCCTGTGTCTCTGTCCATGGCTACCCCCATGGTAGCTGTAGGAGAAAACAAGTAATTCCCAGCAGAATGACATTGCATCTACAATCGTTTTCCCCCTTTTCAGAGATGGGGTGAGGCTGGTTCACAAGCCAGTGTACTTGAGGCAACAGGAAGAGCACATGGGAAGTCTCTGAGGCAGAAGCATCATTGCTGTGATTTAAGAAACACTTCAAGGGTGGCTGGAGGAGGAGCATGTAGGGTAGGAAATCTGATCGAGGGTTGGATGGGACAGGTCATGTGGGGTCTTGTAAACTAGTAGAAGGACTTTGCTTTTTTACTCTGAATGAGATACAAACATTAGAAGTTGTTAGAGAAGTGTGAGCCAGACTGCTGTGCTGAGAAAATACTGTAGAAGAGCAAGGGTAAGGACAGACAGATGTGTTCGTGATCTGTCCAGGAAGGGGTGCAAACTCAGCATGGTCCTAATGGAGATGCCGAGAGATAACGATTATGGACCACTTTGATGGTACCACCATAATATTTGTTGACAGGAGATCTCAAGAGGGTAGAAAGAGCTGGGGGTTATTCTCAGCCTTCTGACCTAAGCTGCTCCATTGACTGAGCAGCAGGTTTCAGGAAGAGTAAGGTGGGAAAGCAGGAAGGTTCTTTTTGTGTGTCTAGTTTTTTTGTACATAACTGAGTGTGACATGCCTCGGTAGTTAGCCAGCTGTCCTACAGCTGAGTGGTCCCTCACAGTACCATTGGTCCATGTTCAGTCTGTAACTGGAGACAGTCAAGAGGCCGTCTAGTTGTGAGGTACATTTCCTGTTGTGAGTGTTTTTCCTTCTGGGAAATTGAAAGCTCTCACACTAGGGATTGAACCCACAGCCTCTTGTTCCATCACTGAGCTACACCCCCAGCCTTCACTGATCTTGACTGTCTCATTCCTTTCCTTAATTCTACATTTGTGGCTGTTAGGAGGGAAGAATCAGAACTCTGTGCCCAAAGTTTCTACACCTAGGAAAGAATGGATGTTGGGATGCACTTCCTAGTTTTAAATGTGTTTTATTATTCTCTTTGTATTGTGGGATACTGAAGGGACTGCATGGATGCCTCCTGCAGGTCAGTTCACTGGGTTCATTCTTAACAGTCTTCTGAGATACTGCAGCTCAAAGCCTTTGTCCTGCGCCAGCAGCAGCTGGGAACAAGTGTTAGGTATATAGGTAAGATCCCAAGCCTGCTCCACACTTGCTGAATCTGCACCTTTCCTCTTGCGGGACCCTCAAGTGAGGCACTGGCGCGTTCAAGTTCAAGAAGCGTGGTTGCAATGATTGGCACATCCTGGGAAAGTGAAAGGCAAACTTAAGTTAGCCTGTGGACGCATTTTCCACTTACACAGAGAGTTGGGCTTAAGTCAAAGTGGCATGTTATTCAGTCAAGTCACATTGACAGTTGTTCCTCAGTATCTGAAGGACACTGGTTCAGGGATTCCACAATTCAAGAAATCTGAGGATGATCAGCCTTTCATACAAAAGGATTGAATGTTCCTGTACAACCTATGTTCACCCTCCCGTGCACCGTTACTAATCTGTTGGTTTTGATACCATGTAAACGACATGCCACCTGTTATTGTATTATTTACAGACCACTGGAAGAAAAAAAGGTTGCCTGTGGTCAATACAGACATATTTTTTCCCCTGAACGTTTTTGATCTACAGTTGTTTAACTCCATGAACGTGGAGGCCTTTGACACAAAGAGCTGACTCAAAAGTCATTGTCAGTGGAGAGTTCTTAAATACTTTTTTTATTAAGTTTTTATTTTTTTGTATTAGTTACAGTTTATTCACTTTGTATCCCAGCTGTAGCCCCCTCCTTCATTCCCTCCCAATCCCTCCCTCCCTCATCTCCTCCCTGCCCCTCTCTAAGTCCACTGATGGGGGAGGTCCTCTTCCCCTTCCCCCCTTCCATCTGATCCTAGCTTATCAGCTCTCTTCAGGACTGGCTGCAATGTCCTCCTCTGTGGCCTAGCAAGTCTACTTCTCCCTTGGGTGGGGGAGGGGGGTCATACAGCCAGCTGTTGAGTTCATGTCAGAGACAGTTCCTGTTCCCCTAACTAGAGAACTCACTTGGATACTGAGCTGCCATGGGCTACATCCAAGCAGGGGTTCTAGGTTATATCCATGCATGGTCCTTGGTTGGAGAAACAGTCTCAGACAAGACCCCTGTGCCCAGATATATTCACAGCCATCCTTTTACCTGCTTTCTCTGTTCTAATGTGTGCAGTGGATTGAATCCTCCAAGTATAGGTTAAATCGTGTGTAGTTAGAGTCATGTTGGTATTTTGGTTATGAATTCTCTATCCAGTGTTAATTCCCATTTATGGTCCACTGTTATGTTCTGGAGGTTTTTCTGCATATTTTCATCGTCTGTACTAAAGAAAGGCCTAGAAAATGTTTATCAGCTCAGGCGTGAAGCAGAGCTTTAATGTCACATCATCAGTGACTCTTCCTTTCAGCTAAACACTACTCTGTTATGGAAAGCTCCAAGTCTATGGTCTTCAGCTTTGGCTGCATGTTAGAATTACTTAAGGACTCTAGCAGAAAGAAAGTAGCAACAAAAACCTAACAGTGAGTGTGCTGTTTCCTAGACCAGTTAAACCAAAGTCCCTGGGTCAATATATTCCTTACATGTCTTGGTTGGTTCTAATTTATGATAAGGTAGAGAAC